GTGGAATTAAAGGGCTTTTTCCTGTTCCCATGGCCTTTTCCCATGGTTCTTATACTCTCCGTATGCTTAGGTATTGCTGAGACTCCAGATCAATAAGCAAGTGATATTTGTAGGTACCATATGTACAAGCATAACTAGGCATACAGCTTCTCTTGTTTTACATTAAATGCTGAGCCTGTCTTCAAAGTATACTATCAAGGTCTCTATTGCGAATTAAAATGCAAGCATCCTAATTTCCCTGAAACTTTAAACTCTCAATTTTACTGTCTTGATGAGAGGACAGAGGAGAGAATGGAGATATCAAAAAAAAAGGAAGCAGAAGAGAAAAAAATTCATGAAAGCATGTTCTGACTTGAAAGAGCAAAATACAGTATGCCTGTATGTGGGAGGGGAACAACGGGTTTGATAATATTAAAAATATCGTGGTCACAAGCTGGAGCTGCCAGAGTTAATCTTAATGCACTGGTTTTACTTTTACATTTTAATGTCTTACCCAGAATTTAACAGTACATTATTCACTAAGAGCTTTGTTCCCACCACAGAACATACAAACACCACTGCTAGCCCCTTGAATACTTTTTATGATGATGTTGTGGAGTTAACTCTCAGCGTTTTTTTCCCCCTCAATCCCCACTGTGCTCACTTGCCATGACAGGCTTGTAGCTACAGCCAGGTTTGGCAGCAGCCCTGGGCTCTTGTGCCGGGTCTGAGGGGATATCACCCTGTCAACAGGGCAGTGTGGAGGCAAGACAGAGCTGCCTGCTGCAACAGAGGAGATGCTAAATGCAGACTTTCTCCTGGGTGGTGCAGGCATTTTAATTTCTCCTGGTGCTAGTAGAGCATTTACTGTAGCTCAGGCACCAGACAGGGCTGGGGAACAGTGATGGTGGCTGCTGCAGACAGGAAGAGTCAGCCCAGGCTGTATAAGTTGAAGGTTTCACATGCTCTGCAAGGAGTCTCTTTGAGAGATACAGAGAGGTAGAAGACCATCACAGGCAACATGATCCACGGCTTGCACAGTGGGGCTGAGGCTGCTGAATGCGACACCAGCACTTCCTAGAGGGAGCAACACTTGGACGTGCTGGAGGCTCCTCACCTGCAGCACTTGCAGGGGCAGCACTGGCACTGACACAAAGCTGGACCCCTGCCTCCTGCAGCACCGACCACCAGGGCTTCAGTGCTTCAGTCAGCACAAGCCACGCAGGTGGCACCTCTTTCCATGCATGTTCTTACATTCTCTTGCCACTAGATGAACTGGGGATAAAACACAGGAGGTTTTACAATCTCATTTGAATTGCATCTTTGAAAGGCAAACAAACAGCATGAAAGAAAAATCCATCACACCACCATTTAGGCAATATAAAGGCACACATCATGCAGGAATTAAAAGTTGAATGGGAAACCTATTCTTACCTTTTTGCATTTGCAATATCCTTGTATTTAACTTCTGTATGTCTTGACTTTATAACTATAATCTACATCATGATATCAGGAATACAAGCACACAAGACTGGCGTGCTAGTGGGATTTCGTCAAAGCAAATTTTATTCATGTTTCTATTCATGGATACAGAACAAATCCTTCTTTGCACCCAATAATCTAAAAAAACTATTACAAGGGGCTTGTAGTTTGTTTACAGAAAAGTCACACTCTAGTGCAAACTCTTTCATATCTTCCTTTTATTCTGTATGTCTACGCCATACAACAACTCTTTATTTCCCCCAGTGCACTGGAAACCCTATACCATGGTACAGCGGGAAACAGAGAAAAATTATTTACGCAAGAATTTGAAAGGCAAGAGGCTTGCATTTATTTCCAGATCTGTGTGAGGTGGGATGTTTGGCCTTGTACAACTCCTTTAACAACTTGGTGCTTCAGTTCCCTCTCACTAAAGGACTAACATCAGGAATCTCCTAGCCCCAAGATATCAAAAGTCCTAGGGCCAGGGACACCGAAATATAACACTAGACCAACACACAGAGATACAGATAGCACCTATTCTTCAATTAGTTTTAGGTAAAACCAAAAAGTGACAAAGTCCTCTGGTAGCAAGATCCCCCTGACAGTGGGACCATCTAGCTAATTTCCTGGGAGACATACTGGAAAGGAAACAGGAGCAATTACAAAGCTTGGACACGTTATGCTCCACAAGCTACGATGCCCCCCCCTGCACCCCAGCAGGCTCCCAGGTGAATGGCTCCAGGAGTGATTTTCCCTCTCCAAGCACAGCTGGAGAGGCATGTGAGCAGCGCAAACCATTGCTCTCCCCCGACTTGCAGAGCTTCTCCTTGCCTAGATGACTTCTCTGACTCACTTGGAAGAAAATCTGAAGAAGAAGGACTGATCATGCCCTCACTTGCCTGGGAGGCATTGCTGAACCATCATCAGAAATGGCCTGATTGCTATGAACAAGGGGAAGCACATTTTGAAGAGGCCTAGGCAGGGATGCCAAGACATATCACACTGCTCAGCTGTGTTCAGAGTCCTTTCCTGGAAGTTCACAGGAGGCGCTTGGGGACAGGACGAAGGGCAGCGGTTGGGGAGCCACAGGTCTGTCTGTCACTCAGAGGACCCTAGGAAAAGGCTGGCAGGATGCCTTTGGCCAGCAAGATTCTTGTTTAATACCAGAGACTGGGTCTGGAGGAGGCCATCGAGTTAGAGACAAACAACCCCTTTGAGGAGCGGACAGAGAAATGTGACACAACCATGGAAGAAACACAGCAGTGGATGCATGCAACTGTTTCCACCCTGGACACTGCCTGGGCAACAGCGAGGAGGGAATCAGAAGTGATAGTACTACTTTCACGCTCAACAGGGTGAATCCAGGACACAGGCACAGCTTAAAATGTGACTTTCCCATCACTTTGGGTTCAAACCTTGGTGTTATTTATATGCAGGGTTGTGGGGTTTTGCTGCCTTTCCTTGAGAATTTTTCCTTCTCATTAATTTTATCCATAAAACCGAAAGAGAAGGATCTATCGGTAAGGGTGTGAGGGATGACACAATGCCATGGCAGCTTTGTCCAGATCTCCAAATACCAAGGCTTAGGAGTGGCTTTCCTAAAGTGACAAGTCCTGCTGAACTCAATGGGTGCACTGTCCCATAAATCATCCTCTGCAGAATCCAGTTTTCCATATGGCTTTATTAGATGCTCCCTGACAAATGTAAACTTGAAAGGCACAGAGCTAAAGTACCCTTTTTGTCTTTATTTTCTAACTTATTCTTAGAAACAGGCCAGCAAGTATTTTTAGTAAAATTTTCACCTGCTTCCAAGTCTGTTAGGCTGATGTTAAGATAAGGACATAGACACAAGGCACACAGGGATCAGATTTTTAAAGCACTGAAGTACCTGAAAGTGCAGAGAGACACCTAGCTGTTTCCCATTGCTCTCAGTGCAGAAGAACTAGGCACAGCGTAGGAAATGTAATCCCAGAACCTCTATACTGGAAAAATGTGAAGAACAAATGGTAGATTATAGAAGGAACATGGTGCCTTTCATTACTCTCAGGTGTCAAACATCTTGCAAGTTATATTTTTCAGCTTAATCCACAGTAGCGAGCCTCGTGTGTTGAGAACAATCTTAGTACAGGAGCCTGTGCTAATAGGTTATAATCAATTGTATTCCTGAAACAAACAACAAAAGCACGGTACTTGTGTACTGTGTTACGATCCCACCTCCTCCTACCTGTTCCCTATGGCAGAAGTTACAGAAAACAGCACAAGCTTCCCAGGTCCCAGTCTGGTTCCCAGTCTCCCCACCTCCTCACCTGCATCCCCATCCCAGCACACACACCAAGCCATCACACTGGCCAAAAGGTGAATGAGCAGCCCCACTAAAAATGTGCCCATGCAGAACATGTCTTGAGTGTCTACACTAATAAAAATGAAATGTTGACAAGTTTGGGCCCTAAATGTTGTCAACATTTATTCTCATGGCTTAGCTAATTACAGTCCACAGTGTTGATCAAGAAAATTTATGCTTCCCAGTGAGTAATGTATAATCCAAGACTCAAGAGGGCAAATTTTTACAAAAAACACAGCAAAATACTTCAAAATTATACTGGCAATAGAACTGCAACCAGCATGACAATTAGATACAATGTTAATCAGATACAAGCAAAATTAAGCAGATTATTCTATTAGCCTGGGAAAGATGGTCAAGTTCCTTCCAGCTCTCCCTTACCATTTCCTTTAAGGTGATGATGATGATGATAATTGTATTGTTAGAGTAAAATTTCTCCTGTTGTTCTTATCTCAAGAGTCCAACTGGTTTACAACAGGGCTGTTACTTAAGTCACTCTTTCAAGAAATTGCTCCTTGCTCTCAGCTGCTGCTGTTGCACGAAATTGCTCTTATTTTCAAATCCATCTGTCTGTTGCTATTTTTAATGTACTCATCCTGATGAGAACAGCACTCACACCGCCACACCATGCCTCACACAAAAAGGACTAAGGAAACACACCTCAGCTTCTCCAAAATCAGTGGTTTAGGCTGTAAGCTTCCCTTCAAGCCTGTCTTTAGAAGACAGGCAGAGCACTGTGGGCATGCTCACAGCTTCCTGCTCAGTTCCTAAATCTCTTGAGCACCCTACCTACAAAGAAAACCATCATGGTGTCAGGGCTGCCTCGCAACACATGGATGTTTAAAGGCCGTCTGAAGTACAGCTTGTCCCTTGTGTTATGGTTTAGGAATAGTACTCCCGCTAAAACCATATTCTGCTTCCTCTCCCTCCCCTCCAATTGGAGGCACAAAAGCTAAAGAACATGGGTTGAGATCAGAACAATTTACGGGAAACAGCAACGAGATAAGAAAACAAACAGGAAGAGCAACCATATTCATAAAAAAAAAAGTGTAAGAAAATGAAGGATTTACACAGAAGGCCCCTGACAATAAACAATACCAGACCGCTTCATCCACCGTGTTTACTAAACCAAAAGGAACCCATTCTCCCCCTTCTTCCCAAAAGAGAGAGGGAGTCATTTTGCCCCCACCCCCAGCAATGATGTGAGGTGACATAGCATAACATCTGGGCCCTAGCTGTGCCCCCTCACAGTTATTGCAAAAAATGAACCCTGTCCTGGCCAAAACCAGGACAGCTTGCCAGACCTGATAGCATATCTTCAATCAGCCCAGTGCAGGAACCTGCACATCCTGAAGGCACGCAGAGCAGTGCCCATTCCAGGTAGTCTGTGCAGAGCATCCCTGCAAAGCCAAATATCGTGGTTCAGATCCCACGGGAGCACTAGCCATAAACCACTATGGGTGTAAGTGGTGCAAACCTACACCTGCAAGTGGGAAAATGAGCTGCGGCATCGCTCCCTGTCCTGTCCCGCCAGTACTCCCTGCAAGTGTAGTAGGATCATTCTCCAGGTGTTCGCTCAAAACAGCACATAAATGTTTCAAACGCCACTTCATAGGTGTCACTCAAAAGCCATAAAGAAAACAGGAGGTGGAAAGCCTCAGCTCAAACCCTCAAGTATCAAATATTCTTCTCCCCACTACGGAATTTTACAGGCTGAGAAGTGATGTTAGTTGAAACCTCTGTTTTACAGCTTTTCCTCAAAAACTAAGCGTACAATCAGCCTCAGAAGTGTTACTGATGTTGCCTAGAGAAGACCTCTTGGATTTACGGGCAATAATTAATACTTAATCTTTAGCTTCAGCAAGGTAGCTGTGCTGCAGGGTTAGTAGGAGTCACCATGTTGGTAAACAATAATTGCACTGCACATACAGCCCTGAGCCGAGTACCCTGCAATTATGGAAGGTTTCCTGGGCCTCTTGCAAAGGCCCTCAGGTTAGGAAGGTCTTACCAGGCAAGCTGGAAAGACCCTTCTCCTCTGTGTGAGACAAACTTTAAGGCAAGTTGTGCTTGGCAGCTGAAGCGCCTGAGGACAAAACACAGACAAGAGCCTAAGAAAGAAAGATCCATCAGGTCACCCATGTCTTGCTGGTAGCAAGAGTCAGGGCTGCTTGCTCTGTGCTATGTCTTTATACATCAAATCCAATACCTTGAGTCACTCTGAATTGGTCCATTTGACGAGTTGAGGAGGGATAAATGGGATACTGAGCTCAGGTGTACTTTGCTCCCTGTGGCTGCCATGGGATGAGAGAAGCACTGCTGCCCCCTCTCTCTGTTTTGACTTCCACCACAATTATGTCCATTCTCTGGGGTTGGAGTACCATCCATAAGTCTCAATAGTGTTGGCTAAAGGAACCCCTGCCCATCACTTGCCACACTAGTGGATGGGAATACCTTGGGTGCAGCCCGAGATGTTTTCAGGCACCAAGAAGGTCTCCTTCAAAGATGGTAAAAGGGCCTATGGAGAGTGGCAATGCTGGTAACTCTTCGAGAAAGACTCATCTTCCTGACACCTGGCAAAGTCTGGCTCCTCTGGAAACAAAATAAACAAGCAGTAAAAGAGGTTAGCTTTCATATGAGTAAAGGAAAAGACAGTTTTCTTACTGTTGCATATAAGAAACATCAGCCAAACACCAATACCAGCAAAATAGCACCGTGGATATTTACAAGAGACCAGATCACAAAGTCTTGAAGTCAGTTATTAGTCATAGCTTTGAGGGTTTCATCAGACCTCTCTCATACTGCAGGTTGTGCTCTATATTGAGCCCAATCTCTTGGATTAGACTCAGTCACATTAGCAGTGTGAACATTCACATCTCTGCCAAAATACAAGGAGGAATGGGACTGCTGATGCTCTCAGTAGCTTATTCAAGTGGTTAATCTCTTGCCTGTGCCTTATCTTGCATTTGAATTTGTCTGGCTCCAGCTTCTGGCCTTTAGTTTTGGAGAAGGTTCCTTCTGTGAGAGGTATTTTCTCCCCAGGAAGGTATTGCCATGCGGGGCACTTGTTGCTTACCACAGGATTCCCCTCTCAGCTGGGGGCACCAGCCCCAAAGGCAGAAGCCGGGAGTCATACAACTTGACACTAAGTAAACACCCTGGCTCCATTTGAATGGAAGGGCCGTCAAAGTGGCCTCAAAAGAAAAAAAAAAAAAAAAAAAAAAAAGTCTTGCGGGGCTCTGCTGCTCTGCTATATTTGTTTTAGTTCTACTTTGCAATCTGGGGAAATGGAAAAGGTATCCCTCAGCCCTCTTCCCCAAGCCCTCACAGCCCTCTTCGGGCACATCTATCCCCCTCACCCCTCTGCTGGCTTTCGGCTCCCGCGGAGCTGAAGAGAGAATAAGATCTCTAGTATCTGGCTCTAAGCTGATAATTGCAGCCTCTTCACTGGCACAAGGCGGCTCTCATGCCATTTTGACCCAAACTATGTCTTTTTTCTGTATATTTTTAATTAGACTCAAGAATGCAGAAAACCCAGCGTGAGATCCTTTCATTCCCCTTTGTTTAATATCTGTTATTATGACATTAAGTGTAGGGTTTTGTTGTGGTGGAGAGTTCAAAATCCCCCTCGGTTCTACTGCTGTAGCCATGGGTTCGTGTACATTAAAGTGGTCATTTTCGGATTAGCTCTTGCTTTCCCTTTGATGCATATGAAACGCTGAGCCAGTTAGTTGGAGAAGGCATTTTACCTCTTTTGTTGCCCTTCCTCACAACCGACGGCAGGGAGAGGACGAAAGCCCCCTGGCTCTCTTAAATCAGAAAGGAATTTCCAAAGGGTTTAAAGCTTTAGTTGCCACTTCTGTCTGGGGTTGCCTGACGAAAAATAGAGCGTGTTTGCTTTCAAATAGAGCAGGCGGCGAGAAGCCTCGTATTTGCTGCTGTTGTCATCATCGCTTGTGTGGCCATTTCCTGGGAATTTGGGAGTCCTGAGGGCAGTACCAGAACTGAGCAGCAGCACAACTCAAAACTTTTCACTGGGATACACAAGTTTGAGAGGTGGGAATTAGAATTTTGCGGCAATCGGGGTTTTTTCCCTTCTCTCTTCCTTTTTTTTTCTTTTTTTTTTCCCCTTTTCTTTTTGATTTGGCAGTTAATGGGAAGCAGAACTAGGGTTTGATTGAACAAATGCTAGATTTCACGTATGCTTCACATTACACCGGCAGCCTACGATTTCTTTCCATTTACATAAGACCTACGCTCTGCATGGCTGTTTCTTTGGGATGTCTGGTATTTTTTTCCAAGGAGAGAGAATTCTCGAGCCTTGAGCTCTTCCCACTTTAACCATTCATATCATTACAGCTAGTCCTAAGGGCTCTCGATTAAAATAAAACTGAGTCAGTCGGAAATAAAAAATAATTAAAAAATGTTAGTTAGAAAAAATAAATACACATGCACACACAACTTTTCTGCTGCCTTAGAGATCACACCAAATATTCCTGTGAAAGTCGGGCAAAGCGGGGGAGGGGGAGTAGAACGTCGCGGGGGGGAGGGAATGTTTATGTCAACACGGCTCAGTGATGGAATAATGCGCCCCAACGTGAAGTCACAGCCGCGGGACACGTGAAGTCACAGCTTCTCCAGGTGACAGGTGCTGCAGCAGTTCAGATGCGAGGGAGCCGCTCCTGCTCCCTTCCCGCCCCCGCCCCGGGCATCGGGAACCGAGGGGCAGGAGCGGCCCCTCCAAACGCTGCTCCTCCACTTGGCATACAGATGGGGAAACGGGGCTCATGAAATATTCCTGATCCACCAGAATAATTTTTACCTTGAGAAACCTGCTTCCTTGTTTGGGGTTTTGGTGTTGTTGTTTTTTGTTTGTTTTTTTTTTAGACGCTATTCGTGCCTAATCAGCGAGATATGTTTTAATTTAAAAGCCAATAGACTGCAGCTGAACTGCGCTACAGAAATCCGATGTAAGGATAATTTGGAGTATTCAAAACCGCTGAGTCAGCGGCGGAGCCCATCTCCATGGATAGAATATTGTTTTTAACTCCCGCTGCTGTGTTTCACTTACTGTTATACCGATTGTATCGTGTAATTATTGTTTGTTTTCCAAAAATGTAATTACTTTCTTTTTCTATGTTTCCTTTGCAACGTTAAATCTGCCAAATGCCTGAGTAAGGCAGCTCAAGAAAATAAAAAAGAAAAAAAAATAAAGACACGGAAAGAAGAGGAGGTCTCTTTCTCTCTCTTTAGCCGAGATTTTCCCTTTCGGGCACCTTCTTCCATCAGCTATTTAGTAAAGATATCGGCACGTGTAGAACACCAGCCCAGTTTGAGGAAGACATCGGCTCTCAGACAGCCCCACACGTTTCTCGGGTGGCTTTCCCTCCTCGCCGTGGGCACGGGGTTCGGCCGCCCCTCACAGGGCGATGTCAGGGGGGTGATAGCAATACCAATAATAACGATAATAACAATAAAGCTGTGTAGGTGTTTCCAGCCTGGCGCTGGGGCCAAGCTGCACGGCGGGACCGGGGGGCCTGGAGCCAGGGGGTGGTCTAGGGGAGCTGGTGGGGTCGCCTGCAGACCCGCCTACCCTCTCCGCGGGCAGAGGGTGGGGTTGGGACGTCTGCCCTCCGGCGGCTGCCGTCCCTGGGCAGGAGGTGGCGGGGATGTCGCCCCACCGCCGGGAAAGCGGGTTTGATGGCGAGTTTGGCCCTCGGGCCGAAAAAAGAGAGAAACGGGGCAACCTTAAAGGATAGGCCCGGTGCAGGAGGGCAGCCAGGGCGGAGGGGACTGGCGTGCCGAAATGTGGGGCGAGCTTCATCTCTCACAGCTCCGGAGGTGTTCAGGCCAGAGCCAGAGGAGTCAAATGCCCAGACTAGTGTTCAGAATCGTGCCAGGAGAGGTTACTCCACTTTCCCCCCTCTTTAATGTAGGATTCGGGAAGAGTGACCCCCTATGAGATCGGCTCACCGGCTCGGTAAATTATACCTGCTTTAGTCAAAACGGTGCAGAAGGGTCAGATCCCCCCTCCTCCCATCAGCAAACATCCCCCTGGCTTCCCCAACACGTTCCCCGAGTAAGAGCTTGCAGGGAGCACCGGAGAAAGACTGGGCAGCTGAAGACACTTTTCACCTCACCAGAGTCAGATAATGCTGCTGGCCTGATTCTGGAAAGGGGATGAATGGAAAGGGTAGGAAACTTCTCCCTCGCCTTGCCTGAGTAGAAGGATCAGCCGCCTAACTGCTGTCCTCAGAAGAGGGGGTCTGGGGTTTCTCAGCATGGAGAAACAGATAGTCCCTGAAACCGCAGATTTTATTTCTGGCAAACAATGCTCCCCCAGCCAGCGCTTGTGTGCGAGACAAGTAATTGTGCTCCCTTGCTTAAATAAATCATTGATGGGTGAAATTACACATGCTCACTTAAAATGTAATGTGATTAAGAGATTATGGGATCGCAGTTAATATGTTGCCTCACAGCTTCTGGACCCAATTCCTGACACCAGAAATCCATCAGCCACAACTGTCCCTCCTTGCGGGGAGGCAGCTCCTCCTGCCACCGGCAGCCATGAGGGTTGGCCGGGAGGGGGGACCGGGGGTCTCCCTCCTCTGATCCCCTCAGGGGGCTGGAGAAGGTGAGAGGGAACTTCAGGTTTTCGTTTAAATGAATAATAACTCCTTGCTGTTGTTGTCTGAGGGGAGGAGGGGGAAAGAAAAGTTAAATAGAAAGGCAGGAGACGGGTTGGGGGGAAGAGAGGGGCTGGGGCTGCGCCTGCAAGCTGATTACCTCTCATCTGAAAGCTGCTCCATTTCCTCACACATCGGGTAAGTCCTTTATCATGAGGTGGCACAAGCCCTGCCGGGGGCTATTGCTCGCCCCGAGGAAGGAGTCGGGATGGCAAGCGGGATCCTATCATCAGGCTGCATAATAACCCCGGGCTCGCCACAGCTGCGCTGTGACCCTTTGTGATGGAGCTGATAGTGCTCCCGTGAAATAATGTCCTCTTTTTGGGTGTGAAATCACCATGTTTATTAATTGAGCTAGACATGAGGGTTACCTTTTTCTTTCCAAGCCATGAAAATTTGTGATTCAGGGCAAATGGTTCCCCCTTCCCCCCCAAGTTGTGTTGCCAAAGGGTTGAGAGAGAAGGACCAGCTGGGGAGAAGAGCTATTTTGGAGAGTCGAAGGGGACCGGGCTCCAAGGCAAGTTCAGATTCACGCACAGACACCCCACACCTCGCTCGGCTGCAAAAGCGGCCCCCCACTCAGGGCAAGCAGGGCTGGGAAATGCAAAACTCATTCCAAAAAGATAGAGGCCGGGGTGGGGAGGGTTGTGCATCACGCAGCCTTCCCTGGCCGTCCCGCGTGGGGATGTGCGGTAACCGCGGCGTGGGGCGCCGCACATCCCCGCACACGTACTGCAGGAGGTGAGTCGTGCCGAAAGAGTACGACTTCTCTCTCCACACGCTCTTTTCCTCTTTTTTTTTCTTTTCTTTTTTCTTTTTTTTTTTTTGTGGTTTTTTGTTGTTGTTGTTGGTTGGTTGGTCTTTTGTTGTTGTTTGTTTGTTTGTTGGGGTGGGGTTTTTTGTTTTTTGTTTGTTTGGGTTTTTTTGTTTTGCAATTAGGCTTGTAACGAGCTTATTGCAGTATGTGCTTCTGGGCCAATACTACTTGTATTTAACCTAATTAAAGCCGACCTTTTAAAATATCTGAAATATAAACACGCCTTTTTTTTTTTTTTTTCCCCTTCACTCCCCTCCTTTCCTACTCCGGTTTAGCAATTTAGCGTTTGAATCTCTGAGCTGGAACATGCAACCTTTCACCAGAGCACAGAGAGAGAGGGAGGGAGAGAGAAAGGGGGAGGAAAGTAGCAAAAACCTGCGGATGAGGCGGAGGGACTGGCTTTGCCCAAGCATCTGCGACAGGCTTCCAGGTAGGCAGCTACCCCCACCCTACCCCGCCTCCTGGGGCCGGATTCTTCCCTTCCCCCCCCCCTTCTTCATCCTCCTCCAGTGGGCAAGGGGCGGCAGGCAGGGAGAGAGCCGGGTGCCGTCCAGTAGCCGGGGTGAGCCCCTCTGCCCTGCTGGGGGCCGGGACCCACGGGGGGCAGCCAGGTCCCGGGGAGGGGTGTGCAAGAAAGGGACACGCCTGTCCCTGCGCGCCGGGCAGACACGCGATTTCCAGCCGGGTGCTGCCCGCCGAGGGGCGGGCGCAGCTGCGTGGGGACCGACACGAGCCTCCCACTGGAGGCAGCGGCACTCTTGCCTGGCGTTCCGCAGCCGAGGTGGGGCTGAGAGGCTGAGGCCAAGCCCCTGAAAGAAGTCGGTAACGAGTGTGTGTGTTAATGCCCGCTACGCCCGTCACACAGGAACTGAACGAGTCTATTTCCCGTGAAAGCCCACCCTCGCAAAATCTCTGCGAGTTGATTTGGGGTTGTTTTTTTTTTTTTCGATCAATGGGAAATTTAAACTTTTTATTTTTTTTCTTTGCAGGGCAAACCCGAATATGCTAATTTTATTATTTTTTAACTGTGTAATCAAAATTATCCTGGGATTATTTTTTTTCCTCTGAATGACATTACAAAGAATTTTGTTCAAGAAAGGCAGACTAATTGCTGCCAGAAGAGTCTTTTCACAGAAAAGTCTGGTTTTCATAAGGCAGTTTTTGTGGATGTTGTGGTTAAATCCTAACGTAGTGGAAAGGGGTTTGGTTTTGGGGGTTTTGGTGGTTTTTTGTTTGTTTGTTTGTTTTGGATTTTTTTTAAAGAAAGGCGATTTTTCTGAGAGGCAGGAAAGACACACACTTTAGCAGAAAAAAAAAAAAATACTCAGAGACTCAGTGGGCAAACATTGCGAAGAGCAAACCCCGGCACGCTCCCGATCGGCCGCATGTTTGCCGCTAGGCTCTGCCCCCCGACCCGGCCCGTTTGTCGCAGCTCCCTCGACAATTTCGCCCGGGTCGGGGCTCTGCGGGCTCCCTCTGAGTGGAGGGCGGGGAGGATGGAGGGCTGGCAAGGTGCGAAACGCGGGCATCCCGGCGGTGCTCCGGCACCCCGTTCTGCCGGCCGGGAAAGCCGCGGTCCTCACCTGCGGTGAACCCAGCAGAGCTGACGGGGGAGGCAGGACCCCCACCCCGGAGGCCCTTCGCCTCCCAGCAGCGGCAAGGCGAGCAGGACAGCAGGTAGCCCCCCCGCCTTAGGGAGCACAGCGGCCTTCCCGGGAAAAGTGGGCCCGGGGTCGGCAGCGGGACCAGCCCTGGAAGGCGGGGGCTGCCCCCCATCAGCCATTCCAGGCAGCTGAGCAAAAACAAGGAGAAAGAAAGAACCAAATAGTCCGCAGGATGTAAAGATTGCCCACAATTTTCTCTTTTTTTTCCCTGCTTTTCTCTAATTTTAAATCTTCCCCAGTTAACCACCCTACCTTCCTCTCCTTCCACTCCTTCAGCTCGGGGCTGCTAGGAGGAATTTTAAAGCCCTTTC